TTTTTTTTTTTTTTTTTTTTTGCCCTCCATCAATTCCGTCATACATTTTTTATTTTTTGGAGAACAAAGAAAATTGTCCCTATTCCTCAAAGCCTATATATGAAAAATTACACGTGTTACATTGATCTAGACTCCTTACTGTCCTTGTTCTTAATTATGTGTACCATCGTAGAAAAATAGAATTTATTTCAATATATTCTGTGACTATAAATTCCAAGTGTCCAGCCCTTCAGTTTTGAATAATCATTACTCCTTTGTTTGCCGAATTGTGTTCATCCTTAAGAAAATGGGAATGTTAATATGGTTTTCCCAAATCCTCTGCCTTTCCTTCATATTGTTACAGTTTCGAGTCCGAAGCTCCTCACCTTCTCAATCTTCTCTTGATTCACCGCCACATTTGTGCCATCCTGAAGAGCGTTCTGCATTGCTTGATTTCAAAAGCACTACTAATATGGTGGAAGGCTGTCTTGGTACTCCTATAATACAAACTTGGAACGAGAGCATAGACTGCTGCTTGTGGGAGGGTATCACATGCGACAAGCCAAAAGATCATGTCATTGGCCTTGATCTTAGCAGTAATTGTCTTGAAGCTGATCTAACTACAAATAGTAGTCTTTTCCGCCTCGAGAAATTGCAGAGCCTCAACCTTTCTCACAACAATTTTAGTTTCCCCAATATCTCATTTGGGTTTCACCGTTGGAAGAGTTTGACATATCTTAATCTCTCAAGTACGATATTTCATTTCTTTCTTTTGTTTGAAATCTCCATGCTTCCAAAACTGGTTTCACTTGCTCTAGTTTGACAAATCTTTAACTTTGCAGCATTGGGATATATGGATGGTTCTCTCCTGTTTGAGATCTCCTTGGTATCGAAATTGGTTTCACTCGATCTCTCCTGTAATTATGGTTTGCTTCTTGACAACATAAAGTTTCAAATGCTTGTGCATAACTCAACAGAATTAAGGTTTCTTATCCTTGATTCGGTGAATATGTTTTTGGTTGTGCCTTCTTCCTTGCTAAACTTGACTTCCTCCTTAGAATATTTGAGCCTTAGCAATTGTAATTTGCAAGGAAACTTTTTTACATCAATCTTCAACCTCACGAATCTTACTTATTTGAGACTGTCATCAAACAAACTAATAGGGTCTCTTCCTCACAATATAAGTGGACTCTCATTTTTATATAAGTTTCAAATGGATAATAATTTCATCACAGGTCATGTACCATCTTGGTTGTTTACTCTGCCTTCTTTATCCCATTTAGACCTTCGAAACAATAGGCTTACCGGACCTATTGATCATGTTAAGATGCCTAATCTCATTTTACAAGAAGTCTATTTGTCCAATAATGAGATAAGCGGTGCAATTCCTAGCTCTTTCTTTCATCTTGTGAATCTTACTATAGTCCACCTTTCTTCAAATAATTTAAGTGGCACCATTACGGACTACATGCTTTCAAAACTTGTAAACCTTGAAACTCTTGATCTTTCCAATAATAGTTTGCTGTCTTTAAGCAATGATGGTACTGTTGTCAATTATTCCTTTCCGAACCTCTGGTCTTTAAAATTCTCTTCTTGCAACATACACAAGTTCCCAAGTTTCTTAAGGAAGGCAAAGAGTTTGCGAGAATTGGATATTTCCAAGAACAAGATTTTTGGTCAAATTCACAAATGGGAAATAGAAGGGATGTCATTGTGCAGTTTAAACCTTTCTTATAACTTCTTGACTAGTATAGATTCATTTAGCCTTGGAAATCTTGTAATTGTTGACCTTAGATCCAACTTACTACAAGGATCACTTCCCATTCTATCAACAACTTGGGATTCTATGGTACTACTCGTCATTTCAAGGAATAATTTGATTGGTGAAATCCCTTCTTCTTATTGCAATTTGACTTGTCTTAAGATTCTGGATTTAGCTAATAATAGTTTGGGAGGAAAATTCTAGAATGTCTTGGAAACTTGAGTAATCTCTCTGTCTTGGATCTACGGATGAATAAGTTTCATGGTAGAATACCAAATTCTTTTGTTGACGGGAGTGAACTGAGAACTCTTAACCTAAATGGCAACTAGTTGAAAGGGATATTGCCATGGTCTTTGGTTAATTGCAGTAAGCTAGAAACTCTAGATGTGGGGAACAACAACTTGAATGATACCTTTCCACATTGGTTAGGTGTTCTTCGATTGCTAAAAGTTCTCATCCTTCGATCTAATCAATTTCATGGTGCCATCAGCAATTCTATGCCTGTATTTTACTTCCCTCATCTGAGAATCATTGATGTAGCACAGAATCATTTTATGGGCCCCCTACCAAGTAGCTATTTCAAAATTTTGAAAGGTATGGGAAATGTAGCTCCAGCTGATAAAGTCAAATTAGAATACATTGTTGAGGAGCGATACATTGGTTACGTGCTAGGACGTAATAATACGCACTGTGTACTAGTGAGAAGTTGCACATTTGATCATACTAATATTAATTATAAGGATTTTGTGAAGGTAGTAATGAAAGGTTTAGAGCTGAAGCTTGAAAGGATCTTGACAATTTTCACAACCATTGATTTCTCAAGCAATCAATTCCATGAGAAAATTCCTGAAGAGCTAAGAGAACTCAATTTATTTATAGTGCTAAACTTGTCTCACAATAGTCTCATAGGTCAAATTCCAACATCGTTGGGGAAACTAGCAGAACTCGAGTCATTAGATCTCTCATCAAACAAGCTTGAAGGTAGGATTCCTGAGCAATCGGCAAAGCTAACGTTCCTATCAATTTTGAACCTTTTACACAATGAACTTGTGGGCCACATACCTGAAGGGAAACAGTTCAATACTTTCTCAAATGATTCCTACATTGGGAACTCTAGGTTGTGTGGAATACCATTGACAAAGAAATCCCACAACGAGGAAGAACAAGGAGCACTTCCATCACAATTTGATGAAGAAGATGACTCTACAACACTCTTTGAGTGGAAGTTTGCATTGGCAGGCTATGGGTGTGGACTAGTGTTGGGACTTAGTTTGGGATACATTGCCTTCACTATAGGAAAACCATGGTGGGTATTGAAGAAAGTGGAGAAATATCAACCGAAATTAATTGGAAGGCACTACAGAAGGCATAAGAAGAGAAAAACCCAAAAACCCAACCAACGCTCTTAGGTGAGAAAGTTTCTACAACTCTCTCTATAATATTTGTGTTCCATCTAAGTTCTAATCATAAAAATGAAGGTATATTATATAATAGTGAAACTTAATTTTTCTACTTTTGCTTTATTTTACATAGGGGACAGCAGGTGCAGTTGATTTCCTACTCTGGAAGATCTGGTGACAGTTGCTTCTTGAGTTTGTTTCCATATTTTTCATGTTCATTGTTGACATATAGTTGTGTTGACTTGTGTGGGAATTATGGTTATGTATGAACTTGTGTTGATTTCTTTTGGATTTCATCTATCTACTCTACAGGCAGTTGCTCATGTATTTTTCTTTGTGTAATTGGTTTCTTTTAATGTTATTAATCTCTTCATATTTTATTCTCTTTTCCTTTGTTTTGGTTGCCTTTGAACGGTGCATTTTACTGAAGTAAAATGTAAAACTTCTTTAATATTTGGACCCCTAAACATCTCCATTCATCATATTTCTCCGATCGGTGTGGAAGTAGAGACGCATCTGACGAATCTTAGATGACAGCTAAGCGATTTTGGGGAGAATTATTACTTAAGAGGGTTAAGTGAGGGACAATCCCAATCTCTTTTGCTCTCTGGAGGCCCACCCTCTAACCCTTGCCAACTCAAGTCTTATTCTTTGGCTGGTGATTTGATACATAGGCAAATAATTTTCTATTGGTGTTTTCCTTTTGGTTTGTTGAGATATTAACTTCTGTCTTAGCAGGGAAAGTTGTAATTCTGAGGTGTATACACTATATTCATGGCTAGTTAGTGTAGGTCATACCACATAGAGTAGAGATCCTTCAATTTGATCTTATTTTGTCGACGTAAATTAGGGTTATATTTGTTGTTCTTGCTGTGAACTCATCAATGGATATTTTTCTTACAAATGGTATATCTTGCGAGCAACCTAAAATTGAGAGTCTGTGTGGAGCTAAGAGAGAGAGACGACCCTAGATGACATCCTCAAGAAAGGTTTATGTTGTCATGGCTGAAGTAATTGCTTGTTTTGATGGCTCTGATATTCAAGTACTTATTTTGTAGTGAAAGGCTAAGAATTATTGTTGAAACTTGAAAAATGTCTTCACTTGTTATTGTCATTGATATTAGGTTGTCTTGTGAATTATTTCTTGTGTTTGATGAGAAGCTAAAATAAAGAAAGTTGTGTTTGGGGGATATTTTTCTTTTCGTGTCACATTCGTTAAGGGAAGGCAATTCATTTATCAAGAATGTAAACTATTCCATTAGGAAAACTGCGTAACAACCTAAATTTATTATAAGTTCTATTTATCTAACAGTCTGTTTCAATAGGGTCAAGCACTTGAATTTGTTTAGCAACCTCAATTTCCTATAATTTCTATTTGTGGCATTTCTCATTTTTTTGTTAGTTGTGTTGTATCATGTCTCAGACCCAGTTTCCTGCTTTTTGTTTCTCATTTTGCTCTATGCAGTCACCCAAACTGTGTATTGCTCTGGGCCTGGATTAAGAAATAGAAATCCTTATTGTTATGGGATTCAGTTAATTACAGTGTAATGGAAATTGTGAAAGAAGTTAATGCAGGTCTTATGTATTTTTGTTATATTAAGGTGTCCAATGTGATTTTGATCCTATGAGTTGCTGTCTATTCATCCTAGATGCTATTGCTTTTTAAATTTTATTTGCCATTGTACCTTTATGGGATTAGCACTCTTCTTTTAGTTGTCTTAATTCTTATTTGTTCTTTTGAAAGCCTTTTGAATGTTTTATTGATTTCACCATAGTTTCTACTTTGACGTTTTTGGCAAATCACTACAAAAATGGGAAAACTCACCTTGTCACAAAGTGGTATACTGTCTACCATATCCAGTTCACTTGGTTGTATATTGCTGCTCTTAGACACTTGGACACTTGTTGATGATACTGTAGAAGGTTTGTTCAGTCCGAGTCATGTTGCATATCTTTAAACTATAGAGCTATCTGAATTGAATAATAGATTTCACATACTCTTTCAAGGATATAATGGAGATGCTAATCAATAGAGGTTGTCTGGGTGAAGTTCCTCTTAACTTGAACCAACAAAGAATGACTATTGCCTCGGAAACAAATTCTTGAGGTATATATGCATGATCTTTAAGATATGTTTAGATTGGAGGAAGAAGTCTACAGATAGAAGTCAATTTTCTTTTAAAAATAATATGAAAATCTGTCACCCACTAGATTTATTGACAGGGAGTTTTAGTGTGGAAATGGGGCCCCACTACCTTACCCACTAAGTGCTTTTGTTATATTACTATTGCTAGTTCTAGTGCTTTTAATTAATATTTTGTGTTGTTGCAGAAATCACTGATACAATCCTTCTCTATTGGTGGAACTCGAGGTGATTCCTTATATAATTAAAGCCTGCTGCTTGCAGATTGATTCTATGGAAGTGCTTCAAATGGTCTAAAAATATTGAGTAATTATTGGGTATATGATTTAAAAGAAATAATAATAATAATAATTTAAGAAAATAGTTATTCCCTGTTTCATTTTTAGTTATTCTGCTTCCTCTTTTCTAGTGAATAATGTAAACTTTCTGAAGTTATTCTAGTATTTCAATTCAGCTGCTTTCATTGTCGGCCAATCTGTGCATTCACCATAGGAGATGATGATGTGATCTAGGCTTTCAGGTCAGTAAGTTCATTCTGTTTTGCAATAATATAATTTGCAGCTTATTTCATAATAGATCACAGCAAAAAATTACGCTGCTATCTTGTAACTACGACTAAGGATTCTTGGAAGTTGAAAGATATAATTCTTTTATCAAGAATCTAAATTGTTTCTGTTGAGGCATGTGCGTTCTGCATGGTGGTTGAGAAAGCTTGCAAATTTCAGCCTGAGAAATTTGGTTGCATGGGAAATCTCATGGCAGCCTAATTTTGTTGAAAAATTGGAAGTCTCATGGCAGCCTTTGAAATGGAAATTTGGTTGCTGCAACTTTGTCCATGCAACATTTATTGTGCATGGTTGGATTATGACTTCGGAGCCCATTGCATTCATTGTGGGTGGTTGGCATTTGGCTATAAAAGGCTATTTGGCCATTCGGCAAATCACACCAAGAAGAGCAATCCAAAGCAAAGTGAGCTCTAGAAAATACAAGAGTTTTGTTAGTGCTTTGGGAAAGGGTGAGCAAGAGCAAAGTGGTTAAAATTACTTTGCTAAGTGTTTTTTGAGTGTGTCTCGCATTCAAAAATACTGTGAGTAAGATTTGGGTGTAATTGAGAATTAGGTATTTTTTCTGAGAGTACCACAAATTGTATCTTCTTATTTTAATAGTGAATTTTTCCTTGTGAATGCCCGTGGACGTAGACTCAATTAAATTGAAACTAAACCACGTAAATTCTATCTTTCGTGTGATGGTGCTTTTTTTTTTATTTCATTAATTTCTTAATCTTGTAGTGGGTTAATCAAAATCTCAAGCAATTTGTTCCAACAGTTTCATTTAAAAAACATAAACAATGTTAGAAGATTAAGTTCATATAGCTGATCTTTGTTTCTCTTTGTACTTAACTAACATCATAATGACATTTTGTGACAACCTCAATTTATTGTACGTCTACAAGTTATATTTGTAGTGTTTTTTATTTAATTTTAAGCTAGCTACATTTCCTGTTTTTAGTGTCCCAATTTCCTGCTTTTTCTTTCTCATTTTGTTCTGTGTACCCATTGATGCTTTTATAAATATGGACCTGTATTAACTGCTGGAAGTCTTTATTGTTTTGAGATACAGTTAAAGTGTAATAGAAATAGGGAATGTAATTTAGGTAGGCTTTACTTGTTCTGTTCACATGTTGTTTGTGTATTAGTTAATAGTTATGGTAACTATTGCATTTTGAATTTTATATGAAAAACACACCATGTTTCTGAGTAGCACTGCAACAACCCATTCACTTGGTCATATATTGCTCTTAGACACTCATTAGGCACTTGTGGTGCAATTGTGGAACGTTTGTTCTGTTCCAGTCATTTAGATTATCTTTAGAGCTGAAGCCTTCTTTTTGAACAACGGATTTCACTCACTTTTTCAGTGATATCGTGATGCAATATCAATGGAAATGTTGTCCGGCTCAAGTTCCTCTTACTAGAACCCATAGAGTGCCTACTGTATAAATAAGTTGTCTGCGTATCATTAAGCTTGTTATCTTCTTTATTAGCACAAGCCTGATGGTGCTACGTGTCCATGATAGAAGTTGGCTGGCTGTGATTTTCCATATTGTGAGCAGATGAAAGGGCAACCAGGCAAAAGGTGATGATAGGATGCATGAAGCACCATGGGAAAAGCTCAAGTGCAACCAAAGTGGTACCACATGGTGGAAGCGGTTAGTATTGGATGGATTATGGTCTGTGTAGGGGTGGCAAAAATCTATTCGACCCGTCAATCCGATCCTAACCCAACTCGTGAAAAAAGGGTTAGGGTCTATATATCTTAATCTATAATCCGTAAATAACCTGTATTATCAATCCATACAGGTCATGGGTCGGGTTAAGATCAACCCGCGGGTTAATAGGTTGAGCTGTTTGTTTTATTTATTATTATTATTTTTAAAAAATATACTTATTATTTTTAATTAATTTTTCTATTGGTAACTCCTTCCATTAATTCA